ATTATTACCACCGGTCATTGTTGCCGAGCGTTCTGAGGCATGAATTTTCTTCGCTCGCTCGGAAGCTGGGATCGTGGGTTCGGATCCCACTCAGAGCATGGACGTTTGGTGTGTGTATGCGTTTTTCTGTGTTTGGGTAGCGGCCTTGCGATGGGCCAATCACTCGTCCAAGGAGTCCCACCGTCTGTGAAGTGATTAAAAGAATAAAATAAAACGTAGACACCCGTATAAGGGTATAAGAGGAACGGATGAAAAATAAATATTATTGCTGTTGGTACATTCGCCAGTGCTTAATAAAGACACTTCTCCTCTCGTCTGTGACAATCGATAAATCTTAAAGTTTATTCATCATTACTCTCTGCCGCTCTTTTGTTTCTGTACATATGCTGAACGGTACATTTGAACAGTAAATAATATTATATACACGTATTGTGTAATATAAGGGACAGTATTTCATATGCTTTGCATGTTAACCCACGTTAGTAAGTATACGTATACGGAGTAAGCAAACCCTTAAGGAACTCTTACAGCTTCGTGGGTAGGCGCGGTTTCCTTTGCAGGAGGACGGTTTGGCGAGTAGAAATTTATGTGCCTGGTGAACTGAGCCAACAATTGCTGGCCATTAATTATAAAGGTGATTATTATTATTGTGGCGTATAGACCCCGCTGCTAAGTGGTGACTCTGTAAACAGCGGCCGCTGCTAGGTAACGCCCGTAACATACACGCACGAACAATAGAACAACGTAGTTATGCAACCTGTTTCTAAGCAACGGCACGGTAAACACGTTCCCGCGGAAGCGAACACCGCGCGACAGTAAAGGGTGGTGCTTTCGATGTTGTCCTGATCGAGGAATTATCTTGAAGACAATTAAGTTGAACAGTTCATCCTTGCGCATGGGCCATGCTAATCTTCTCTGTATCGTTCAACCCATACCCGTTCCCTCGTCAGAAAAGGCGCCCCATATGGACAGGACAGTAACTATCGAACAAGAACTAATATCTGGTCATGAGCCCCAATTGGGGATTGACTGACTGACTTTGACGAGTTCATTTAGCAGTTCAGCTGAGTGAAGTGAAGTAGTTGGTTGATGAGTGAGTTCAGTTGAGGGTTGGCAATTGAGCCGAGCTCTGCAAGGGAGGCTGAGAAGAGATGGCGCTATAGATGAGTTGACAGTTGACAAGAGTTCTACACGGGCGTCTATGAGAGAAGGACCTGAGCGCGGGAAGCTGAGTAATCTCCAATGTTATAATTCGTTGGCAGGAAACACAAACAGGCTTAGCAGGCGCTACTGTGATTTGTAAAGTGTGGAGATCAGCGCTAGCGCTGTAATTACTTGTAGTTCCGAGTGGTGTTAGGTGATCAATGAATCCATTCTCCAATTGAAACCCCGCCCATAGTCACACACATAAATCTTGACATTATTATTATTATTATTATTATTATTATTATTAGTAGTAGTAGTAGTGATGTTAATTATAGTTGTAGCGATAGTAGTGGTGGTGACAGTAGTAATTGTAGTACCGGTTGTGGTGGTAGTAATAGTAGTAGTAGCAGTAGCAGCAGCAG